AGCCTTTGCGAATCGCGCGATTCGCTAGCGTCCGCGGTCGCGTTGCGGTACCAGCCAATTGAGTGATTCACTGGCCGCGACGCGACCGCAGACGCTAGCGAATCGCGCGATTCGCAAAGTCTGACATCGGCCTTATGCGGCTGAGTTGAAGGAAATGCAACAATAAAAGTACTGGAGTATTGTGGCACTTTGCATTAAGGGTTACTGTAGCCGACTGTAGAATTGATTTAGCGCTCACCAATCTCCATAGCCAACAGTTGAGAATGTGACCATAACGAAATAGAAGCTGGTAAAGAGGTCAAACTGGCGTTCACCTGCTCGCTGTAGATGTTCTATGCTACACATACCTGAACTAGGAATCGTATAAGTAGTCACACATGCAAATATAATAACTAAATCACCTTACCGGTAAATATTAAGCAAATGAGAGTGGAGAACAAAATAAGCAGATGTCTGAAAAGCGCCGAATGCTTCACAAGGGATCCACGATTGAGATCGTTCTGAAACGAGACACATTTTTAATGAGAGGCGAAATAAGAATTTCAACATACCATCATTGAATGAAGAGATCCCTTGGCGAGCCAGCAGTTCAGGAAATACGGGAACGTACATTATGCGAAGCTCTTTGAAGAAAATCTGAAGAAAGATCAAGTACAGGTAAATGCTAAGATATCTAATAATAAATATGTTAGGTTGCCAAATAATTTCGCCGGGTTTTGTGTTTGAACTCATTCAATACTTGAATTGACCAGGGAAACACCTGCACTTCCCGCTACAATACTGTGGCAATCTTTCTCTTCAACATCCTAACTGCACTCATTTATGAGACTCAGAAAACAGCCAATCAGGCGGCACGAGTCAGCGTTTTTTACATGTCCCAGGAAATCTGCAGCCAAATCAATTGGAAAAAAAAATAAAAAATGGGGAACCCACTATAATCACGCATATCGCTTTTAATCATTTGCTTATAATCATTTATCATGCACCGTTTTGGTCCCCGTCTAAGTTTCCATACCATATGTGAAAGCCATCGGCATTTTTCGTGATCATTCCCTCTCCCTCCACTGCTCTCCAGCTGCCACTGCAGCACCATGTGGAATGACCAGACCATGCTCAGTAGGTGTTTATATAGCCGTTGGGGTGTTATCACAATCATGCATTGCAAAACATTGATAGCTCAAGTCCTGCGAGCTACTCGATTTTGTTAGCGGTTTGTTTATCTGTGAGCTTCCCTTTCACTTCATTTTCGGACGGAGAGAAAAACAGATATGCATACAGAGCGACACATATTAGCAATTTCTATAACAGAAGGATGGTAAGTAAATTTTTGAAGAATGTCAGGTGCTTACCGTAATTATGAACGGAAAACTGGTGACGAGTTCCAAGAGGAAGTGAGCATTCAGGAACAGACGACAAATGTTCCACTGAAACTAGTATCTTCATAGTTATGATTTGTAAAAACTTTCCTGTCTCCTACGTGTACATGAAAACAAAAACAAAATTTCAGGCGTGGCACTTCTAGAAAATGTGGCTTCCCACAACCCCAGCAGCGTCTCACAACTCATCAGCATCCAGGGAGAACCGTCAGTTGGTTTTCCCATTGATGGGAGTAGCATTTCATGATCCTAAGGGTGGGTTTGTATTTGGAGTGGATGGCTCGCAATTTTGAAAGAGCAAGAGAAGAAGCAGAATTTCCGTTCAACAGTCATATGCTCCCTCGACTCAACTCGACGCATTCTTGAGTTTTCGGAAGTGGGTTATCCAAGGTTTCGAAGTGCGTCAATATGATACTGGTCAACCGCATGTTGATCCGATCTCCCGTGCGGAGACACCTTCTGTAAAACAGGGATTACGCCCAAAATTTTTAGATTCCTGCCCGTATTGCCAACGGTCAAACCTGCTTTATTGACGCTGTGGTGTCATGTCCCATCCAAACCTAGAGCTTACCCTACGTGTAAGTTCATACCGGAGGGGATGAGTATGCTTTACGGTTTGGAAACACACCGGAAATTTCTCAATGTTCCCCGAAAACTGAATTTCTCTAAGAGCTTTCCCTCTAAATTCCGCCAGTCGAGAACAAAAAACCTCGCGCAACCCTAACACTCGTTTACCTGCTAACGCTTTTTTAACTATTTCAAAACCCCAGCCAATTTCACAAAAAAGAATTCCGCCCAACATTCCTTGACGGATATACCATCAAATTGAAGCGCCCATCGAATTGGTTTCAAGTAATACATAAGGAAATTCCAACAAGATAACATTTAATTGTAAAGTTCACCTCATAACTTATGTAGAAAACTATTATAGTCTCTGTCAGACTGACAACAGCGACAAATGTTTGCACGAGCCACAAGTAGGTGGTTCTGCCCACCCAGAACAGGTACTCACTGAAAATATGGGTAAAGCTTGCATGTAGTGAACCAAAGTGCCCATAAACTAACTATTTTATCTCTCCTTCTTTGTAGGGATGCGTTTCCGGGAAGAACTTGGCGTCGTGCACAACTCGTACGCAGTACAGAATGCATGAAAGGGTTTTGATGAATACGTTGAATTGTCGGATCCGGTAGCCTAAACAATGAATCTGAACTGAGGCATTAGAAGCTAGGAGTTTATTCCTGCAATTTCCTCATTTCAAAAAATCAATTGAAAAATTTCATAAGTATTTCGTTATAAAACCCCACCGACAGTGAGCATCCCTACAAACACCAATAGTTGACCGACTCTCGCCTAAGCCAGTCGTCACTCCATTTTCACCGGGTCAGTCAAGCGTTTCTATGCTCTATGAGAGGATAAAAACACAATGACATGAGCACTGTCCGATCGGCAAAGCACGTTGCTATGCGATTTCTTAAAATGTCAACTGCGTGGCTGAATAGATGGCTATATGATTCCGTAAAATGTCAACTGCGTGGCTGAATAGACGCGCGGCCCCAGGAAAAAGTGTGGCTTTCTCATTCGAAAATGAAAGCATTTTTGCGAATTGGGTCGGCAGGAAATAAAGGGATGGAAAAAAATTTATCGAAAGCGCTAACGTTAAGTGCTTGCCCGTTCTGTAATAAAGCAATGCGAGGCTGGGCAGAAAGAAGATAGGCGAGAAAGCACAGTTGATGAGAGAGCGCAGATAGCGGTATACTGCGGAGGAGAAAAGGAAAGTAAGGACCTCCACCACTTCAGCGGCATTCCACCTTGAAGGAAAGAGGCGTGTTGGACGAATTATCCGCACCTAGCTAAAGTTTTCCCGGCCTAATAGTGCCCTTGCTGTGGACTATTAGGCCGCATGAAAACAACGCCACCTTTAGCTACACCCACGATCTAGTTACGTACTCAGAGTATCATACCAAATGTCATTCTGGGCTTTTCCTTAAGCATTAGACAACCTCATAGACAAAATGGTATAAATTAGCGAAGACGTTCAATTACATGAAAGCTGGAGGCGAGAGTTAGTCTGGAGAGAGAAAAGAAAGCAAAAGACCCACCTGATCGACGCCCGGACTAGACCTCCACCACTCTCATGCCTGCCATTCCACCTTAAAAGAGAGAGAGCGGTGTTGGAACGAATTATACGAATCTAGCTAAAGTTGCTCCAGTGCCAATGACATTGAACTGCAATGCAATCGCTGCCGCAACTGCGCTGCGCTTTTCTCGCAGCGTCACGTGGCAGCCGACAGCGGAAGGCGGGGTCTTGCGGACGAGGGTGTGGATTGCGGGTCGAGCGAGCTTCTAGCGCCTTTATCGCACCACGCCGCAAAGGGGGTCACACTTCGGGGTCAACTCTTATCCGCCTGTCTACTACGCTCGGGGGATTGAGCCCAATTCCAGACCGGCCTTTTACCACTTCAATTTTCTAGTATTTTTCTATTCTTTTATGCGCTTTACGCTTGCCCACGACCCAAACACATTCAGTAGTGGGTATAATTCTGGTCATGTATCACTATCGATACAGTCGAAATTTGCAAACAATTCGTTTTTTTTTCGAGAATCAGTAGAAGTTTTAGTCCTTAATAAGTTATTATGGTTTCTTTTGTTAACAGCCAATTGTGTCGTCGTGAGGGCCCAAGAGAGCGCTACTCTTATAATATTTGAGTTCTCGCGAAATCCATCTCGAACGAAAAACCTCTGATTCCAAGGAAATCAAACCGACATACCATATTCAGCAAACACGAAAGTCCAACGAGGACTATTAGAAAACGATGCACTACATATTGTTTTCATTCATTGATGGATTCAAAGGGCTTATTCTACCAATTAGTTTAGGTTTCAGATTAGTAAGTAACCAGTGAACTAAGATAATAGTGATGAGATTAAGCTAAGTTAAGAATCCATTACCTATGTTAGAATTATTCCATTGTTAAAGGTGGCGGCTTGTCAGGCATGAGCAGTTTCAGGTTTCAGTGGTACCAGCTAATTTGTGTCGTCTTGTGAGAGAGAAAAGTTAGGATGGTTGCGTCAGCAGTAGTGACATTTATTTGATGCTCAAATCCAAAGTGTGATTTTGGTTGCAGTATAGAAAGGCTAAGCTTTCATACTGCTGGTATCTCGCGCGGTGCGCATTGGTTTTTGCTTGGCTGAGTACTCTTTGGTCAACCGCACTCGCACGTGGGTTTACCTTTGAACAGCTTTTTCGGTAGGTTGCGGGAATAATTTAATTGCTTGATATCTGGGACCCGCATTGGCCTGGACGCAGGCAGGATAATATCATATTATTTTTTTAAGCTTCCATGAGCAGTGTAATACTACTCTTAGAAAGTTCAATCAGTAAAAAGAAAAAGGAATCGACTTTCCAGGTGGTTTCTTCTGACAATTGCCATACCGTGGCTTCACGGGGCCAAAATACTGTAACATGTGGAGATATTTCTTGAAAAGGAGAAGGCTGAAGGATAAGCCTTCAATTCCTTCTTTCAAAATGACACAAGGAGGTGTGGCTGCAGGGAGAGATCAGAGTCCGTACGCTCAGTTATATCCGACTGCCCCTCCGGGCGTGCGTAGTTTATGTTCATTCGAGAACGTCGAAGGTTTATGGTCACTTGTTAGTGAAGTTGGCGCGAAGGCATGGGCGCTACATGGCAGCTAGGTTCTCCCTTTCTTGTACTTTGGAAAGCTGTGCTGTCCCCATTTGCTCTTTGGAAATTTTTCTTTATTGGACTGTGTGGTTTCCATCAAAAGTTCAAAGAAGCTGGGGCGTCTTCCGACAAAACAACGCAACTTTGCAAATTCGCCGGTGCCTTGTCTAACAAAACCGGGAAGGTTTCGGCAAAGCCGATTGGTATTTCTCGTCACGCTGTGTATGAAGACGAAGATTCTCTCATAGCTGTTGGAAGAATGTGAATGATTTTTCGGGCTCATGTTCTTGGGGGGGGGGGGTCATGAAAAACACAGCCAAATGTTTAGCTGAGAACGCACAGTCGAGTTAAGTGATGAACTACGACTAAGCCCAGAGGGGAAAAAATTTGGGTTGAGAGAGAATACGCCATACGAGAAACACAAATAGCTGCAGCATGCTTCTTTCAGGGCTTTCCTTCTGTAGAGCCACAGGTTCCCTACAGCGGAGGTCAACCCTATCGGTCCTATACGTTGTTACTATTCGAAAAATTTTTACGACCCCCCTCCCCCAAGGTGGATTTGATACGACCCCCTTTTCGACACCTCGACACACCATCATCGTCTCTATAGTACTTAATTCTGATACCACTCAACTCACCAAACTCCGCCCACTTTTTCCTCCAAAAATGCCGTCGAGCGGGGGGGGGGGGGGTATATAGTCCCTCTGAAACAGTAAAAATTTTCCCATAATTTCCCACAATCCCCTAAATTTTCCACCAATTTGCCCAATTTCTCCCTATAATCTCACTGTTTCCTTTTCTAGGGGGGGTATATACGCCGGCTGAAACGGCAAATTTTTATCTTGCGCGCCCTCTACTCGCACAACCTACTACCCACGGAATCTCGGTTTCTCCTCACTCCCACACGTGATTTCGAGCGACTAAAGTGGGTACGACCCCCCCTCCTACAAACTCAACCAGGTACGACCCCCCCGTTGTTACTCGTAACAACGTAGGGTTGACCCTGGTCCAAGCCACGTAAAGGCTACACTGAATAGTCTACCTCCCGGAAGGACAGTGTGACAGCGCCGTGATTGTACTGTATTAGGTTGTCTCATAAATCATGCCGCTTTTTTTCAACCACAAAATTTTTGTCTATATCCCCACGCTTTTACATCGTGTCATATACCTTTTCTGTCTGCTCTACAAAACGCTCAAATCTCCTTCCACCTATGTTTCCAGGGTTTTCGAAATTTTAGGCCTGCGAAATGGGAGGTCCCGCCGACAAAAATTGACCAAACCGACAACTAGCTCTAACTTTATTTCCCTTCGGAGAAATCAATCAATGATGTACCCTCTACTTACTCATGACCTCTTCTAAACATTCCACTCTTAGGTTGCCGAAAAAGCTTTGCCGTGTTTCTTTTCGAATTGGCTGACGGATAAGCCATAGCAATTTTCAAATTAAAATTGTTCCTCGTAAACGTCATTGTTTCATATCGAGTGGTGTTCCTTTTACGAGCACTTCTTCTGCTCTACTCGCTCATTTGTTTTGTTTTTATGTTTGTTGGGAATTAGTTTGAATTTTAGGTTCGCGCGGTTAAGGTATTTTGTCCCCGAAAGAAACCACATTTCTTTGCAAAAAAATAAATTCCCTGAGAAGGTGAAGAAATCAACCAGGTGTACATTCCTGACTTGATCATGACTTGTTTCTTGAATTCTACTAGTTTTTCAATGTCTCGGCTGTAAAAAAATTTCGACCTAGATCTCAGGTAAATGGTGCTTGACCGTCGAGTTCTGGTTGAAAAACCAGGTCTGGAAATGGAACGACGCGACTTGTTGGGAAACCTAATAGTGTAATGTTCAGAAGAGGTCATGTATAAGTAGAGGGTACATCATTGATTGATTTCTCCCAAGGGAAGATAAAGTTAGAGATAGTTGTCGGTTTGGTCAATTTTTGTCGGCTGGACCTCCCATTTCGCAGGCCTAAAATTTGAAAACCCTGGAACAGAGGTGGAAGAGGAACATAGCATCTTGTAGAGCAGACAATTCTCTTTCGAATGGTATATGACACGATGTAAAAGCATGGGGATTTAGATGAAAATTTTTTGGTTGAAAAAAAGCGACACTATTTATGAGACAACCTAATAATAGTAGTTCTTGTGCTTCGCCTATTGAATTTTTCACTTCTTTCTCCACGTATTGGAGAAGGGTCTTGCGTGAAGGATTTTATGGTCCGATCATCCAGAAAACTTGAAGCAAGAATGAAATCGACGGCCATACAGTCGATAAAATGGATACTCCTTCATGAACTAATCGTTCTGCAAGGAATAAGGATGTGCAAGTGTCTTACCCATGAACGGAATTTCGAGTTCTCATGAGCTGCAGAAAGTATAAGCCGTTAAAGGAATCACACTGGCTCTCAGGTGGGGCACGCGATATTCGATAAGAGCTGAAGAGAGAGTAATGGAAGTACGATACGATGCGATATGATAGAAGATAGGGCTTCTTGATATGAGGCCTACTCCAAAATGAAAGCTAGACATCAATAACCTTCGGGTCAACCACGTAGCTTTTGCAACCCCTTCCATGTCCGAGACGTAAGTGGTTGTTCCGGAAGCGCCTTCGGGTGCCTAGCTTAGCCATTGATAAGGC